GTGGTTTGAAATCTAGAGACATATTACTTTGAACTTTCCATATTTGTGCAGACTTATTTTTAATAAGAGTGATGTCAAGGGACAGGGGAGATAGTGCACACAGTCTGTAAAGTGCTTGCGGGATCCCTACATAAAAATGCCAGGCTTGGTGGGTTGTGCCTATTATGGTAGCACTGAGTGGTCAGGATGCAGCAGGAACCTTTGACTCTTTGGCTAGCCAGTCCTGCCTCATTGATGAGTCATTGCCTTGAAGAGATTTAACTCAGAAGAAGTGTATACCACTACTAAGAATGACAACAAAGGTTGGCCTCTGGCTTCACATACACACACACTGGAAACAGAGACAGCCAGCTTCCTGGGATAATAGTCTTTAATCCCATGATTGCTACACAGGAGTTTTTTAATGCACACAAACAAAGGAATTGTACAATGCAGGAGAAAAAAAAATGGACCAAAAAACAGAACAAAAGAGGCCGTACTGCGTCAGTTAATACTGGTAGAGACAAAGACAGGAATTGGGGGTATATACACACTAGCTGGTCTCCAAAAGAATAAAGATGATCTTTAAATCATAATCCCTTACATGTCTATGAATATTTAAAAGCAGTTACAGGTGACTTTAACCTTCATCTCACCTTTACCTTGAATAATTTCTGCCTACTCATGGAGGAGCAATCAGGACTCTAGAATATTTTGTCCTAGGGATCCGAACAAAGATTTCACTTCAACTCACTGCAATTAAAGTACTAGTGCCATATATGTGGATACATATATATCAATCAAATGCATTCTCGTTCAAGAGTTAGGTTTAAAATTGGGCATTTCCAATCCATTTACTCCTTAAGTTATTTGAAACCTGAAACAGGTCAGACTACCAAATTCTTGATAACAGAACACATTAAAACATACACATATAAGTAACATTATACAGACTGTGAAAGTTGTATTTAGGAGTGTGTGTGTATGTGTGTGTGTGTGTGTCTGCGCATGCACGCACGGGCGTGTGGCAGCAATTAAAGAAAAAGAGTCCATGATTTTAAAAGAGCACAAGGGGAGATGGCAGAAAGAGAAGGAAGAAATAAAATAATTGTATTATAATCTCAAGTAAATTTAAAATACAGATAAAGACTAGAAAACAGAAAAGGAAACAAAAGCCCAAAGTGAGATGGGAAATTTGCATGCTGGCTATTTTTACTCAGGAAGCAGAGGAACGCGTTCCTCCTCTGAAGCTGCAGAGTCATAAGAACATGGATGCTGCTCATGCACAATAAGACATAGTGCCGGTGAAGTTACGCGTGTGTTGTTATGTAAAATGCTTTGTTCTCTGGAAGACTTTTGGTAAATGTAATCAAGAACACTAAATATGAAAATAAGGAAAAAACATTTAACACTGTTGAAAAGTAATTAAAAATATAGTTTACCATATGGTGCTCTGTCATTAATTCTCTTTGGCAAAACAAAGTCTGGAAGCATTTATTATCCTGTGTCATTTTTTAAAGAGGCCTAATGTTCACATATGCCACTTATGTCATGAACAAAGTGAATCAGATTTGAGAGAATGACAAGAGATTCATTTGTCTGAATTCAAGAAATTATACAAAATGAGACAATGGGACTGTCCTTCCCCTTGTGCAAAAGTTGTTAAAATCATTTCTCTCTGCACAGGCATAACTCAGACCGTGCTGGTTAGAAGACGTGGTTAGACTAACCAGATTCAAGCTTTCTAGTTGTCAAGGAAATGGTTTTAGAGGCATGACCTCTGTAATAAGCTTATATGAGGCCACGAGGGTTGGATCCTCATGAGGATGGGAGTGTCTTTACTCAGAGAATAACAGATTAGAGAGGCCTTTTAGTCAGGTAAGGAAACACTGAGAAGGCAACAGTTTGGACCCAGATGAGGGTTCTCCCCAATAACCTGACCACACTAATAGCCTGACCTGTGATACATGGATCTCTGTTTTTATAACCACCCTGCATTCAATGATGTGTTACAGCAGCCAAAGCTGATGAAGTCTTTTAGAAGGCAACACAATCTGTGCCAGTCCTTTAATGATGTGAAACAGGAGAGTTTTCTGTTTAATTAAAAGAAGTAAATCAAAGACACAGTTTTCATTTAAAACTTCTGTGCTGTTCTTCTAAACTAGAGATGTTCATCCTAGTTTATTCAATATGACTTATGAATTTATGAAGAATATTCAAAGGAGATGCTTTTCTTGAGATGACATAAAAGCTTTTGAGTACAGGAATATACTATCTGCAAAATAGAGCAGTTAATAAGGAAATACACTGAGCAAAGGCTTCACAGATAACATAATATCCTTCTGAGTGGTAACAGCATTTTTCACACAGTTGGAGCCAATATCCCATTGTTATATGCAGGCTTATGCTTGTTTCTGGGTTGGCCTATGACTCTCACATGACTGTAGTTGCAATGTGCTCTTATCCAACAGACTTTTTCAAGATTTCCTTTAGACTTAGGTCTCAAGAAGGCAGACACCAAATTTTGGTCCTGCATCTATTTTGATCAAGCAGTCAAGTAAGGACTAAGATAGTTTTAGGAAACATAGGAGAGTCTATTAATGTTGCTTTGTGATTGGTCACACTGGCAAACTGCCTTCTGTAGATTTGAGTTACTCCTACTCTTCTGCTACCACACCCTCTGAGGACAGCTGGATGAATGGATACATATGTGCAGAAATGGAAAAATAGAAGACAATTAGCTGTGGGAATAGATAAGCATATAATTCTGTAGCTTTGATATCACAGGATTTTTAGGAAATAAGTTACTTCATAGGAAAGGATGGCCATGAAATTTCACATTAATAAAGAAATACAATCTCAAATGATGGTATTTATCCCAGAAGCCAAATCACAGAAACTTCTTATTGAAGTGGATACTAAGAAAAAGTAATTATGAGTAATCAGCTATACATGGGACATTTACATCAGCACCAACCCTCAGTAATGATCGAGTAAAAGAGGGCAGGAAGTACATAAGTACCAAAAGAAGGATGTTGTGAACTGCTGAACTGTAGACATGATATGGATGTTACACACATGAACTCAAAGCACATGTGGTTATCTTTACAGCACCTATACAGGTTCAAGCCAATTAAAAATTCTAAGATAGAAGGAGAAAGAGTTCTCAAGGCCCTATGCCTGGCTGAGGAGCAATTGACTTTTGATGTCTACTATTGAGGGAAATTTATGTTTCACTAGGTGGGTTCCATTAGTAGGCTGTCCTTGCCCCATTGGATAACCCCACATACATTCTTATGTAGGGATCACTATTTGAACTCAGAGACTTATTTATATACTTTAAAATGGTACTGAAGTTTGGAAAGAGAACTGTTGGGGAGCAGAGAAAGTTGGAATGGAAGGAATGGGGGTGAATATGTTCAAGGTAATGTGTGTGTGTATGAAAATTTGTAAAGAATAAAAAACAAACAATGAATCCCATCATCATTGATCTGTTTACCCTAACCTTAAGACTTTCTCCTGTATCTGAAACTTTTGTCAGTTTTGATGATGACACCTAACACAACCTGACCTCAGAAACTTTGCCTCCTTAGTGTTCCAAGACAAACAGGATGGCCTATTGGTTGTGAATGTGTGATGGTTATTGACTTGACTATATCTGAAATTAACTAAAATCCCAAAATGGAGGACACACCTGTGGAAGATTTTTGATTAATTTAAAATAAGAATATCCACTTCTACATAGGATCTTTGATATAGAAAGCCATAAATTTAATTCAGATCTTTTGAGATGGGAAATAAAACATAATAATATGGATATTGTGGAGATGAAATACAACTTTAATTTGGGCTGCACCTTCAGTTGAAAGCATATAAAAATGTGGAAAAAGGAAGCTTTTATTCTTTTTATTCTTGCCTGCTATCAAGTCCATTCTTTGACTGGCATTAGAGTCTACTTCTTTAGAATTCAAGCATCTACTGAAAATCAGTCTCATGCGCTGAATAACTTTTGGTTTCTTGGACTTTCCTTTCTCAGTCATCCATTTTTGGATTAGCCTGTAAGCCATTCTAATAAATCCCTTTCTACATACATACTTACACATTTATATATGTGTATGTACGTGTATATGTATGTGAATGTGTGTGGGTCTGTGTGTGTGTGCATGTGTGTGTTGTCTTAGAGTTTCAATTGCTGTGAAGAGACACTATGATCATATTAGATCACATCAACTCTTTTAAAGGAAAACATTTAATTGGGGGTGATTTACAGTTTCAGAGGTTTAGTCCATTATATTATGGTGAGACATGGCAGCATGCAGGCAGACATGGTGCTGGAGTAGGAGCTGAGATTTCTACACCTTTATCTGAAGCTTGAGCATAGAAGACCTCAAAGCCCACCCCCATAGTGACCCTTCCTCCAACAAAGCCACACTCATTCCAAAGTTACACTTCCCAATAGTTCCACTCCATATATGTGTGTGTGTGTGTGTGTGTGTGTGTATGTGTGTGTGTGTGTGTGTGTGTATATATATATATATATATATATATATAGACAGAGAGAGAGAGAGAGAGAGAGAGAGAGAGATTCATTCTATAAGTTCTATTACTATAGAGAACTTTGAATCTTTGAACAATACACAATGCAGGATCATGTCAGTAGTTCTCAGAGTAGTCATGTACCCAGAGATGATGGACTTTTACTGTATATTTGTTCGTTTCCTTCTTTATTCTAATTGATGAATTGATGTCACCCAAGGTCCTCCACAAATATCACTTCATGGACTTTTCTGGCCCTTTTATTTAAAATAGTGCCCCTCCCCAACACTTTCTCTACTTTAATTTTTATGAGTTTATATCCTCTGACTTTCCTTTCCCTACAGTAGGTATTATTGGTTTCCATGATTGACAAGAAATATCTCTGTCTTGCACACACATTACCTGTAATCAAAATGACTCCTAAATATATTATAATGAATGGATGAAAATCCAGTTATACTGGATTCTTATAGAAATGGAAGCTTTTGCTCATTTCAACAGCACGTATACTGAAATTAGAGTGCCAGAGAGAAGAGTAGCATGGCCCCTGGACAAGGATGACTCATAAATTCGACTTATTAGAAGCCTTCCTCTGGTAGATATGGTACACCACTTTACCCCTCAAAGTCACACGTTACTCCAAGTATATGGCAGATAATATTAGGAGATCAGTTTGGGGGAAGTAGTCTAGGTGTCTCGTTCATTCAGTTATTGCGTAGGACAGAGGAGGAAATAAGAGAAGGAACTGGAAATAAGCATATGCTGGCTCTTCAGACAGTCGTTGAAAATGGGTTTGCTCCTCTGTAAGGTCCCATTCCTCTTTGTTTTCCAACACAAAAAAAAGAAAGAAATGAAAATAAAGTGGAAATCTGAGGAGATGGGGGAAAGGAAGGAATTAAGAAATTATATTTTAATTAGGCCACAATGTAAATAGAGTCAAGTCCTATTTAGAGTTAGCCTGGTGCAAGATTCTACACTTAACACTACTGACATCCCTTCTATTGTCTTACAGATACGGAACAAAAAACTCTCCTCCACTTCAATTTTCACTTTAAATAGCCAGAGAAACTTTAATATCACTCCTACACTTTTCAGAATAATTTCAACTGTGGCTAAATCTCACTAGTGCCATAGATGTCAATATCACTAAATTTTATTGGAGTCAATAGTGTTTCTTTTTGAAAGGTAAAGGGATATTTATGAATATAAACACACACATACATATGTACGCACAAATGTATTATATGCATGCGTATGCACATTCATATGTATATACTTATATATGCAAATACACATCTAATTTTGATATAATACAGTTTTTGAGCATAGTTAGATTCAGATTTATATATTTTTCTACAAATTCTATATTTTGCAACGTCATTGAGGTGAGATATAATCAACGTGCCGTAAGCTGAATATTTTTAAAATATGCAATTTTGTCCACATTGATGTACAGATAGATCATAAAACCATTGCCAGCAAGAAAATAAGAATTTCCATTATACTCCAAAGTATGTCTATAACAATTTTTATCCAATTCTAGATAACCACTAATCTGCCTTATGTAACCAGTTTGCTTCTAAAGAAATTTATATAAAAGGAATAAGATATGTGCTTTTTTGTGCAGCTTATTTGCCTTCATATCTTGAAAAGGCATACAAAGATAGGGAAAGCACAGTTTTTAAAAGAACAAAATTAATTTGCAGAAACTATTCATGAGAAAGTCTAGGCATCAGCATTACAAGGCAAAGACTTTAAAAGCAGAGTATAAATATATCCAAGAACACATGAACATAGTGGCTGAAGCTGGGTGTGGTGGCCAGGCTGTAACCCTAGGATTTATGAAGCTGAGACAAGCTAATCATCACACATTTGAGGCCAACCTTAACCCTACATAGAGAGGCTCCTGAAATAAACAGGAAAATATATTAAAGAGAGAAAAGGAACCAAACAAAGTAGTATAGGCATACTATGAATAGAGAAGATAGTTTAAACTAAGAATCAAGTTGTAACTATAACATTAAGAAGTACACTTACAGTCATAATATAATCAACAAAACTCAAAACTAAGATTTGAACAAGTAGAGAAAATATTCAGATGTTGGAAAAAAAGTTAGTATTTTGAGTCTGATATATAAAAAAATGAAGGAAGCATTTTAATATGTCCTAGCAAACATATAACATGCCACCAAGTGTACCTACATTTGAACTGTGAGTGTCCCAAGAGGAAAAGAGACAAAGAATGTAGTATGAGACTACTTGTTCATTTCCTGGCCGCCCAAAATAACCACAAAGAAACTGTAGTAATTACAACACTGCTTGGCCTGTTAGCTTATGCATATTTCTAGCTCACTCTCATCTAATAAATTAACCAATTTCTATATTTTTGTATTTTACCACGTGGGTCCTGGTGCACCAGCAAGGTTCCAGCGTGTCTGTCTCTGGCAGTGGTACCATGGCTTCTCTCTGACTCTGCCTTCTTTTCTCCCAGTATTCAGTTTGGTTTTTCCCGCCTATCTCTACTCTATCCTATTACAGGCCAAGGCAGTTTTCTTTATTTATTAACCAATCAAAGCAACACATATATAAAAGTACCTCCCACACGACAGGATGGATTACTTGAAAAAAATAAAGGTTAAATGCCTCCTACATTTGATAAACACACACAGAGACACATACATACACACGTGCATGTACACATACACATGTGCGCACACATTAGCATTTACATATCCAAGAATTTAATCTAAAAATCTCAATCAGCTTCAGAAAGTATAAACTGAAAAGGACACACATTTATTGTATGATAAACAAAAGACATGAAAAGAGAAATAGCTTGTCAAAAGGGAGACTTCCAGGTTTACACCAGAATCAATGGAGAACAGAAGACAGAGGGTTAACAAATTTCACATTATAAACGTTGGAAAAAAGAAAACAATCAATCAGGAAGCCTATGGCACAACAAAATTGATTCAGAAATAAGGATATAGTAAGACATTACCAAATTTTAAAAAACTGTGGGAATTAATTCACCCAAGTATTTAAAAATGTTTAAATTTTTTTAAGAAAAAAATGGCTAATGTAATTTTAGTGAATTTTTAGAAGTTAGAATTTCTGTATGTCAAAGACTGTGTTTGAGAAAATGAAAAGATAACTTCCGAATGGGAAAAAAACAGTATCTGCAAATTGTATGCCATTAGGATCTGTTGTCCATCACTTATTATATCTAATACTTAACTCTTATAGTTCAGCAAAAAGAAAACATGCTTCACAAACTGGCAGAAGTTCAAATCTGATTTTTTTAAATCAAATATGAAAATGGCCATTAAACCCATGAAAGGGGATTGAGATTATTAAATATATGGGACATGCAAATAAAAGTCTCAATGAAAACTTATCCACACCAAGAGAACAATGTACCCAACATACAGAAAATATGACATGTATTGTGGAGAACCTAGAAAACTAGGAATATGTACACCAAAGCTCAATGTGATGGAGAAGTGGTTGGCATTTACAGACAAAGCTAAAGCAGAAATACTACCCAATCATTGTACTTCCTAAAATTTAACTAAAAAGTTGGGAGTAGGTAGTTTATCAAAAACATTGCATGCCAGTATTCACTGAAACATTATCCACAGCAAACAAAAAAGTATTTATTAGTGAAGTGTATATGGAACCTGGGTACATGTTGAAATATAAAGAACTTTCCATCACTACTTAGTTTGAAATATGTTTTACATAACATAAAGCAAATTAAATGATTCGGGTATATATGAAATATTGGCAGAGACCACTCATTCAATTCCCGGCCACCCTGACCTAAATAATCACACAGAAACTATATTAATAACAACACTATTTGGTCAATAGCTTAAGTGTATCCCTAGTTAGCCCTTACATGTTAAATTAAACCATTTCTATTAATCTGTGTATCACCACGACGCTGTGGCCTACTGGTAAAGTTCTGGCAACTGTCTCCTTTGGAAGCTACATGGCGTCTCTCTGACTCTGCCTCCTCTTTCTATATATCTTTCAGCTTGTCTGTATTGGGCCCTTCTATAGGCCAAGGCAGTTTCTTTATTAACCAATGATAAAAAAAAACTTATTCATAACATGCATAGGGAATCCCACATCAATGAAATATTTAAAATGTACAAATTATAGACACAGAAATTAAGAGACTATAGGAAAATGAGATGATGGATATTTAGAGTTCTTGTTTAATGGTTTCAAACTTCTTGTTTGGAATGAGGGAGAGATTTCAGGAACAGATAGTGGTAATGGCTACAACATGTAGCCATATGTAGACTATAATGAGTAACACTGAGTTGAACATGTTAAAAGTTTAAAAAAGTAAATTTTGCTACATTTGTCCATTAAATATAAATATAAACCAATATCATTAAAGCCAGTATTTGACATACATGGTCATTACTCTGAGTCATTTTTTTCTAAAATGTTTAGTCAGGATAAGAACAATATTTTTTTTATTAATTTACAAAAATTTCCACTTCCTCCCCTCCTCCCAATACCCTCACACTACCCCCACTCCCTCTCCTCCTCCCTCTCCAGTCCTAAGAGCAGTCAGGGTTTCCTGCCCTGTGGGAAGTTCAAGTTCCTCCCCGCTCCCTCCAGGTCTAGGAAGGTGAGCATCCAAACAGAAAAATGTCATTGAAATCAAACAGTTTAGATATTCTCCAACTAAAGAAGGCTAATTCCTGGTACAAACATGATAGATTAAAATAGTTGTAAGTTAAAATGTATTTACTACTTCTAGTCAGCAAACACCAGAGTCGAACAAGTCAGGTCGCTGGAAAACATCAGTGTTCTCTTGTCCCTGTGTAGCTAGCTGAGAACTATAGCCCACTCTTCCTGTTCACTTTACTGATCAATTTATAATTTGAGTCATAAGGAAGTAAAGCATTGTTTGTAACATAGTTATGAAATTAAAGGTTTCTACTTACCTTTTATAGTAGATAAATAGGAAGGAAAAATTAGTCACCAAAAGTTGGAGACAGTGGAAGTTTGTACCATGTTAAGTAAAATTGCTAGTCAAAGAATCATATGATCATTGGGTTTAAGTCATATTCTTAATAAATTGGAATAAAAAGGAGGTCAAGACCATTGTAATATTTTGATTTGGTGTTACATTTATCTGATATATGTTTTCATAACTACACTTACCTTATTGTGTACATTTGCACACAATTGATGCTGACATACATTGTCAGTAAATAAAATTAGGACCTGAGATAAAGAAAGTGTTCTCCTTCCAACAAGCACACCATCCATTGCCTCTTCTCTGAAAACTTACTATTTTCAATGTGCTACTTATTGTCTTCAAGAGATCAAAAATAGCATGATACTGGAAGAAGAATTAATTGTCTTAACATCATGTCTTTTTCATGAATTTTATGCAAACCTAGGAAAAAGCAGGGAGGTGTAAAGTTACGTTTTGAAGAACTACTAGAAATATTAAATATTGGTTTGGTTAATCTTACTTAACATGGGAAAACATGAGCTATTCCTCGTTTAGATGCAAAACATCAGCTATTCTTCCTTTAGATGTGTGATCAGGGAGATAAAGTG